GGGGGCGGTAAAACTCCTAAGCGGTGAGCAGCCGGTAACAAGAAGTAGACGAATGAGAACGTCCTCGTCTCAGTTCTCGCGCATGCGCCCATAAGGAAGTAATGGAATAGTGGAATAAAGTCGTTATTTATGTTTTTTTCGCACAAAAAGTATTCTCGTCGCTTGATAAACTTATAATTGAGCCGCTGTAGGCACATGGAATATTTAAACCTTTTCTTTAATGACTTTATGGGCCGTCAAGAGCCAGTCCCTTATGCAGTCTATGGAAGAGTGATCCAGCCCTCAGATTCAATCAAAAATATCTTTATTTGTGTTCCGAAGATGAACGAAGGTCTTACGGGGTTGGTACAGCATGGGGGTGAGTATTTAATGACTTAATTTTAATTTTTGGGTGAACTAACCCTTTAACCGCCCTTATTTGTCATACATTTTATATCTAAATATGATCTAAACTAACAAGTTAGAAAAAAATTCACCGCCCTCACAGTTGTCAGGCACGTGGAACATATTGAAGATTACAATAAAAGTCCATGGGACCAAACTGTAAAAACGTTAATTTATGCTGTGAAAACGGACATTTTAACTTGGGGTATATGGACATTTGCTCCCTTTTGGGACCGGCCTCTAGTGGATTTTCGATGTATTGCAGTTTTTCGCACTTCCGTGTAGGCTTCATGTTTCAGATTAGAATGTTGCCCACTCTAGTCTAATATAAACAATCCACACATGGAGTAGAAGTATTTCGGAAGGAGGAACGCTGCCGACGATTTATCCCCTGCAGGGCTGCCAACACTCACGCAATCAGCTTGAGACTCAAGCGCCTTTCAGACAGGATGCGGAATCACGCGCGAGGACATTTCGTTGCTGTGTCAACCAAAGCACGTCAAAGTTCAAAATAGCTAAACTTTTTATTTGCAAAATAGCAAATCGCATTGTATCCGAAGGGCAAAATTGAACCCATTCCACTTCCCGTCTGAAAGGCACTTTATGCAATTGACACTTTTCACATGCTCTCATGCAGAGAATAAACACGGAGACAAGAGGACAGTGACACCGACAGACTAGACAGAGCAGGTTACTTTCGATATGAAAAAAATAAATAAATCAGCTCTTAGGTTCTGTCCATCGTGAGATCGCTGCGCCTCAGTTCAAGTAAATCATCTGTTACTTTATATTTAAAGATACAGTACAACTTACCGAAAGGTATATGCTTCATACATAATATCGATCAATCAGTGTTTTTTCAAACATGGAAAGAGGTCAATAAAACTGCAGGAGAACAGTTATGTCACAGAACGTTACATTTACCTCAGAAAAGCCATTTAATGACCAGCACATTAGTTGACTAGAAAAAATAGCGCGGAGTATTTTGCTAAATATGTGCACTATATTACATATTTAGTATATGTTTACTTGTCATTACATAATTGTTATTTAATATTCCTCCGCCCAGGTGAGCAACCACCAAGAAAAGGTGTTAACACCATAGTAGTATAGGTTGCATAGTATTTACAGTCATTACGTTCCTTTGTATATTGCGTGAATGACGGGTGGTTGGGCAGATATTGTGGTAGGTGGTATGCCATAGGGAACCGTTGCCACTAGGGGTGTAACGGTACATGTATTCGTATTGAACCGTTTCGGTTTGAGGCTTCCGGTTCGGTACGCATACAAACCGAACGATTGCTTGGACCATTTTTCTTGCCGGCAAAATTCGTGCTGACGCGGCCAACACAACGTTGCGCAACATCCAAATGGCAAGCGTAATGAAAGCAGAACGAAACTGCGCTCCTCGTTATGTGCTTCACGGATCGTTTATCAGTTCGGACCAGCAACATCTGTGCAGCGCGAGCCGATCTCGATCAAGCAACACTGTTACCACACCGCGCTAAGAGATCCGGTAAAGAAAACATTTGAATTCGCCACTGAGGTAATAACATCGCTGCGAGATCTAGTGAGATGCATTCAAATTTCTCCGTTATTAACCGTAGATCTCTATTAGATCAAACAGCGCTGTCATGGAAACCAGGAGAAACATTGTGCCGTGAATGAACTAGTACTTTACGTCCACAGACCAGCAACATTCACCATGGATTTAATATAGTAACACTAACTGTAACCAGTTTGGCTGGAATGGTGAAATGCTTTCAAGTACTTCACACATCTTTTTCCATCACTTCAAAATTCAAATATTATATAAATAAATATATATTTAAATGTTATTTTTAATGTGATGACCAAAACATTATTTGTTCATCCTTCAAAGATGACCCCCATTTATAAACCTGAAAGTTTCAAGATCTAGGAAAACTCACACTTATTTAAAAATATTTTTTCTTTAAACAAATAGGAAATTTCTCTGGCATTTCTTTGTTTTTGCTGTATCGAAAACGTACCGAACCGTGACTTTAAAACCGAGGTACGTACCGAACCGTGATTTTTGTGTACCGTTACACCCCTACTAGTTGCCACTGAAACTGTATTAACGCACCAGTGGGGCTCGACAGCCTAAGTCAAACGGGTTGGTCTCAGCAGCAGGAGGGATATAGAGGTCAATAAGCTGGGCTGAGTTGAGTGGGGGACGGAAGAGGTTGACTCTGGGACGAGCCCTCTTGAGGTGTCGTGGACTAGTCGACGAAACACTGAAGACGGAAGGTGCCCACTTGAAGACTCTAGAGAAGTCCCCTACTCGGCTCAATCCAGACGGTTGTCGTGCTGGTCCACTAGGGAGACCACACTGTAGTTGCAACCGTTGTGTGTGCTGACCTATTTTTTACAGTCTATGGTGCTGACACGCCAAGTACACTGCAGCCGTTAACGCCGGACAGAAGGGGAGTCACACCACCATATGGAAGTTTACAGGTTACTGTAAAGCTATGTCTTAGTTTTGCTTATCTTGGTGAAAGCCTAGAACAAATCAACATCTACTCTTGTGTGATGAAAATCAAAACTGCATTGTATTTAATTTCTCTCTGTATTGTTTTATACTTTTGTAGTTTACAGCATTATGTGAGATACATTACTGTAGCCTACTCAATATTTATCCAAATGAGTCAATATTGAATTAAGATTTAAATCAAATCCAAGAGTTTAAATGAATAATACAAACAGAAGCCTACCAGTCATTGTACCATGTGAACATTGTAACATGTTACTAAACTTAAAGGGCACCTATTATGGAAAATTCACTTTTACATGGAGTTTGAACATAAATGTGTGTTGGCAGTGTGTGAGCAAAACCAACCTAGAATGATAAAAATCCACCCAGTGTTTTTTTTTCAATCTCAATAAATCATGTGCACTGTCTCAGAACGAGCTGTTCTAAGATTCAGCTCTTTGTGACGTAGAAAGTGAGAAAGGGGTTTGATTGACAGTGTGGTTGTGGCATAGACCCCGCCCTCGGTGATCTGTACACACCATCCTCCATTGTTTGACCCCGCCCTCGGTGATCTGTACACACCATCCTCCATTGTTTCAACGACAGCCGGTAATGTCTCTTGGATGTTCTGTCGTGGACTCGTGGGTTAATCCTGTTGTTGTGGCTTAAGAATTAATCCTCAAGTGTAGATTGTCGTCTACTGTTTGCGATCCAACGTCACCTCTAGTAAGTGTATTTTAGGATTTTTGAGCAAATAGTCATTTCAGTCTGTCAGCCAATTCAACAACAAATTATGCGTCTAAAGTTGTTGTCGTCGTAGGATGTCTGTGTATATAATTTAAACATTGTTTGTATAGTGTGTAACCACACGTTTATAAATATATATTTAAAGATATTGTATTAAAAACTGCATATATGTTGTTGTTCTTTAAGTTAGCCATCTTCTCACATTTGCCACAGAAGCACCTGTATGACAAGTAAACATGACGCCACAGGTCCCTCGCATAAATGTAATGTCGCTTGTACGTAGCAAACTTTATCACAGAATGTGTAGCGTAGTTTCAAAAAAATGCGCCAGCATTAGTGTTTGTGTGTGTCTGTGTGTGTGTGTGTGTGTGTGTGTGTGTGTGTTGCACATCCATACTTGCAAAAAGACGTGATAACAACAACTCTATACATAAATGTATCAAATAACCATACCGAGAAGTACTGGTCCATTCTCATGTGTTTATTCTGCCTGAGTCTCTTAGTACTATTTATATATTCCGATTCAAACGTACTCTGAATGACATTCAAAACAGCACGTCTCTCACTCTCCCCTTCTGCTTACCGACTGCCTGCCATAGGTTTCATGTTACGCCCTCATCCAAAGGCAGGGCGGGGATATGCAGCTCATTTGCATTAAGGTGGCAGACACCCATAACAGCTCATTTTTAATCAGGTCCCAAAATGACATTTTCAAATGGTTATAATAAATTAACTATGGGGTATTTTGAGCTGAAACTTCACAAATACATTCTGGGGACACCCGAGATCAATATTACATCTTGTAAAAAGGGGCATAGGTGCCCTTTAATAAAATTCTGTTTAGTTACCATATGTTTTGAAAATCACAATTACACATTGTAATGTATGTATTTTTTTTTTAGATACCCACAATCCACCTGTTTCTCTTGAGCAATTAAAATTCCGTAATAATACCGTGATAAAATCTCAATAAATTAACAATTAAGCATGAAAATTTGAAACCGGCACATGCCTAGTCTCGACGCCGTGTCTAATTCCCTATTCAGCAAACCACGGTTACAGTCGCAAGATGAGATGTTATTTTTTTCAGTATTTTTGATGAAATAAATGCAAGCATTGTGAGCATAGGAGACTTCTTTCAAAAACATAAACTTAGTTTTGACCGGTAGGTTGGTTAGTTGCAATATCTATAAGGTGACGAGGTGAGCATTTGGGGTACTCGTTGGGGTAGCTTTTGTTTGTTTTTGTTTAATTTTTTTACTAATAAAAAGCCCATCATCAATTTGTGTCCTTGCCCCACCCCAACCCTGACATTTATAATGTAATATTGTAATATTCATCAATATTAACAAGCATTTTAACGTTAAAAACCTACCTGAAATAACTGGACTTTGAAAGCATGGCTGAATTTTGTGGACATTGTCATTCCTCAGGACCTGATCCAGCGGCGAGCGTTCAAAGAATGTTAAGACAACCTCTGACCTAGAAAACTGAGGAAAAACATCCTTTTAGAATGAGCTTATAAGACCTTAATAAGTCATTTAGGAAGATGTTCAGGTAATAAAGTAAAATAACAATACATGCTTCTTGTTTGTTGCAGTCACACACTTTAATAATATACAAGCCTGTATTTACTTATACTGGTGTCATCAGTTAGATCTCTTACCTTCCAGGGCATGTTAATGGTGTTTTTCAACAGTCGCTCCACTTCATTTAGCTTTGTTTCAATGTCTCTTGCTTCTTTAATCCTCACAAGCCCTGTGAGAGCACAAACATATCAGCATATCCAATCTTTCTAATAATCTTTTACATCAGATCAGTATTCTCCCTCTCGGCTCAAGATTTTTTATTTGCAGTTCATGCAGTTTATGTGGCTCTTTGACTAATTCACTAACAGGAAAATAACTTTACCTCTGCATTTACAAGCATTCCGATTATTGTGCTGAGACAAAGCTGTGGTGATATAACTTTCAGGCAACACCTAAAACAACTTTATTTGACCCCATAAAATGTGAGAGACCACAGAGAAAATCTGGTCTGGTTTGAAAACATGTTGACTTAAATGTGAGCAAGTCTGATAAAGGTCCTGACCTTTGTATTAACAATACAATAGTACTGACAATAATGAATCAGAATAACGTCTAATAGATTTAATTACTTGTAATGAATTCATACTGAAAACAATGAAGGATGCATGTGACCATCCCAGATCTGTAATTATGATGATGGTGATGACAACATCACCCACAATCTCTAGTCACAAACAAAGATTTGACACAACAGCCTCTTCTGATTCAGGCAGTGAAAGACTCCACAAACCTCCACACTGATGTAATGACTATTCATTACTAATGTCTCATGCTGATGACATTACCCACAAGGGACGTACAGTATAGGTTTTAGGTCATTAAATCATCTTTGGATCATAATGACTCTACCGACCCTAGATGAGTTATGCTGTGTCTTTTAAAATCTCCCATGTTTACCATTATCAAACATCTAAAAGAAAATATTTTAGAGGCAACAAATCAGAGGATTTGGCTTGCAGACAGATAAACCTATATGGAATAATTGGAATAATTTCCCCTGTGTTTATTTTACATTTATGCACACACATATATATATATATATATATATATATATATATATATATATACTGTAAGGAATTAAAAAACAAAAAGCATAAGATACTGTACTATACAGCACTGTACTGATCATATATAATTGACCTTTAAATGTTACAGTGGACAGAAACCTGAGCTCTATAGACTTACAGAAGTGATAACACTTCAGCACCATGAGTCAAGACAGATGCATAACAACATTCATGTTGCAGTAAATCATCTATATTTAGGAAAATATGAGATACTTAAGGAAGACATTGGCCCTCATTTATCATTCTTGCGTAGAAACGGGTGTATATGTTGGCGTAAGGTTATGCGTACACTCCTCTCACCACCTGATTTATGAAACTGTGCGTACCTTTGAAATCCAGGTGTACGCAATGCCTGCCCTTGATAAATCCCGCGGCCGAAAACGATCGTCATTAGAATAACACGCCCCTAAATATTCAAGTCTCCGCTCCCCCCACGCCCTCATTTTACGCCATGGACACACGGAAGACGGCAAAGAAGAGAAACTTCTCTGACGTGATGCCGAAATGACCTATCACAATGCATTATTTTACAACACGTCTTTTGAATTAGCATTCAATTTAGAATCACTTCACATGTATTGGGGTGTACATAGTGATGATGATGATGTGATGTGGGATATACCATTCATTCATTCTTGTATGACAATTTTCAATATTCTTCTTCTTATTATTATGATTTGTATTATTAATGGCGCTTGTTATTTAGAAGAAGAATGTCGTTATTATTATTATTTGTATTATAATTATATGTAAAAGAAGAGGAATGTATTTTTTATTATTTTGTCAGTCTGAATTATTTTTTGGTCATTGAAAGCCTTTCATTACCGAACCCAGTCTGTGCGCACCTGCCGGAGCTTACCCTGAAACGGCAGGGTAAAGTCCACAGGCTCGCAACTGAAGGAATGCTTACAAATCAAATGCCTTGATAAAGTCCCACAAATTAAACATTGAAGTCCATGTTGCACAAAAATAAATACTGAAGTTTATAATTACTATGTTGTTGTTTTTTACACAGGGTCATAATATATATTTTAGTTTGCCAGTGCGTTTTGTGGTGTTAGGAATTTTTCTGCGCATTTCCGCACTAACTCCAAACGTGCGTACACCACCTCCTGAGCTGGTGTAGGATTTGAGCGTGCCGTACACCAACGTCCACATTGATAAATTTCCAAGTCACCGTGATTTTGGGTGTACGCCAGGTGTACGCTGGAAATTTGGTGTGCGCACTTTTAATAAATGAGGGCCATTGCTCTTTCTCAAAGAGACCATCTAAAGTTTGACTCAATCCAGCTGTACTATTTGTCGGAACAGATATCCATGCTCTTCCGGTGTTCTTCCTGTCAGGATTTGCTGTGGAAGTTTCCGCTTCCCGTTGAATAAAGATTTAAGCCTATATAAAGATTGCTGTGTTTGTGTGTTTAAAAAAACACTCTCAAGCTCTTTATCGTCAAAATTCTCCCCACGGGGAAAGAGCACATATCTGATCCATTTTGCCACCATTTGGTTTGAACTGTTACCATATGAATAACAAAAGAGCAGCCATGTGTTAATACACACCAAACAGATGGGGGAACATCATTTTGACACCTGGTCTTTCACAGATTTTATTGATATTCTCCAGAGCCGGACAGTATCGGAGTACATTTACTTGAGTACAGTACTTAAGTACAATTTTGAAGGATCTGTACTTTACTCAAGTATCATTTTTGGGGAGTACTCATGACTTTACTCAAGTACTGTATATTTGAGAGGGAAATATTGTACTCTTTACTCCAATACATTTCTATCCATAAATGTGAGTAAAAAGTAACTATTTCTAAAAAAAAAAAACTAAAAAAAAAAATGGAAATAAGAAAAATCTCGGAAACCCTCAAATTGTTGTTTCCCTCTCAAACAGGGCCGGCGCTTCGCACACGCACATCACGCACTGCGCGTAGGGCACCAAGTGCTTGGGGGGGCACCAAAAAATCTGGGTGGTGAAAAATCATCACAATAGGCTACTAGTATAAATAACAAATACAATATGTCTAAAGCATGTTAATATACAACAGCAATACAAAAGTAATATAGGCCTAGACCAAATTAGTGGAGAAAAAGGTGAATCTCCTGTGCCACTCTCCCTCTGGTGCCCCCCCTTCCCCACCTCGCAGTGGTCTGTTCCTCAATCAGTGTGTCAAATTTGGCAGACACCTGATCGACATCAGACATTGGCCTCGAAAGAGTCAGGGGCGGAAAAAAGGAAAAAGAAGAGACAGTGGGATGATACTCGTTTGCAGGTAAGACAATGTTTTAAATAAAAGTGTTAGTTTTGTAGGCACCCTTGCTTCGTGTATGCATGTCCAGAGGGGCATCGCTAGTTGTGCAAATGATCCAGGGCTTTGCCCTGCATGTAGAATTTTTTATTTTAACGGGGGTCCGGGGGTTTCTCCTTGGGATTTTTTTTTTTTTTTACTTGGGCTGTTTAAGATGCAGTTAGTTGGTTTGAGAAGAAAAGGAAGATCGCTTAGATATGTTTTTTCGTTGTTGTTCTATCGGATAATGCGGTCAAAGGCCCAAGGGCGACATCTATTGGTGAAACTGCAATTAGAAAAAAAAAAAACACAATCTCACTGTTTGTATATTTTCATATGGAGTTGTCAAATTATTAGGGCTGGGAAAAGCGTAATCACATCCAAAATAAAAGTTTCTACATGAGTACTGTGTATAATTATTTTGTATATATAATATACACACATATGCACATATATATTTAAGAAATATTTGCATGTATATACTGTATATATTTATAGATAATTTATATTATATATATATATATATATATATATATAAATTAAAATATTTTATATATAAATAACAAATATTTCTTAAATACATATACAAAATAATTATACACAGTGAGTACACACACATAGGCCTATATCATTAATGTAGACACAAACTTTTATTTTGGATGCGATTAATCGCGATTCATCTTTTCCCAGCCCTACAAATTATGTACAGAATTATTATACTGTGCCTCATCAGACCTCTTTTAAAGGTAGAATAGAGTTTTGAATTTTAAATGTTCCAGTGACACATAGGCCTATATTATATAAAAGACTAATGTGTGCAATATTTTTGTATGATGGTTATTGATTCAGTAGAATCCCTGAATATTTTGTCTCGTATTTCTGAATGCAGGGTCAATGCTAAAATACATGCAAGGAGCAACTCAAGGCCAGGAGGAAGAACCATCAACCAGCAGTTGTAGCCAGTTCCAAATATGTGTTTTTAGTAATTGTGGTGGTTTTTGGTATTTATAATTTTAACCTTTTTATTATTTATTTCTTTTCATATTTGGTGCCATTGTTAATGTAAATGTATGTATTTGCAGCAGTTATTTTGGAAGTAAAGAGAACCTATCTAAGAAATTCTGAATGGTTGTTATTCCTTGGGTGGGTGGGGGGGGGGGGGTGGGGGGGGGGGTTGTTAAGGGGGCACCACCAAGCATTTGTGCTTTGGGCACCCAAATGGCTAGCGCCGGCCCTGCTCTCAAACGTGATTGGATTGTGCAGCTGCCACTGATTGGGACAACCTATCAGCAATCACCTTCAGCTTTCCACCAAAGTCAACTCCATGGTCAGATTTAGATAAGAGATGAAACCATGGACGAAACCAATGGATGAAGACGCAGCAGGTCCATTCCGGGAATGTGCCAGCCCGTGGCCCCACCTCGCCAGACTATTTCAATTTTCTGAATTTTCTGAAATTTTCTTAAATGTTAAATAAAGCAACATGGTAAAAAGATGAATACGACTTGATTTTACTTTCAATTCCTTTTACATTCTCCAAGGTATAACTTCAACATTTTTCATAACTCCATGTAGGACGTTTCTGTTCATAAATGTACTGTAAGCACTGTGGCAGTTGTAATGCAATATTTAGAAAATGTACTCTTTTACTCTTGATACTCAAGTACTTTTAAAAACAAGTACTTTTGTACACATCTGACTGTAATACTTTTACTTGTACTTGAGTAAAATTTAGCAAAGGGTATCTGTACTTTTACTCAAGTAATAAAGCTATGTACTCTGTCCGCCTCTGGTATTCTCCCCAAACCAGC